CCATAAACCTCCAACCTGAAGATGAAGACTCCCAGGCTGGCAGGGTGTCTGTGACCAGTGACTGAGGCCATGCAGGCCATTTCTCCAACATAACCTGGTGTATGACTTAACCTTAGTGAAAACATGGTGACAACCCAAGTCCGCAATGACGGCACAAAGGAAGCAGTGCCCAGTCACTTGTTAACCACCTTCCCACTCAGTTCCCTTCCCTACCCTCTGTGTCCCCATCCTGTCGCCCAGCAGGCTCACTCACCAGGCCAGAAGCCCGGGGACAGAGGAGCCTCCCTCCTGCCTCTCCCCAGGCCCACCAGAGAAGCCACATGGTGGGAACTCAGAAAAAGGATGATAAATGAAGTGTCAAAACTTTGTGAGCTCTAGTTGAAACCAAATGAAACATATTTCATTCAAATACAAGTGATTTTCTTCTTCTGATGCCTCAGAGATGGGAGCACCTGTCTGGGATACAAACCTTTTCCAACTTTCCCCATCGCCATACTTGCAGCCTGCCCTGTGCCCCTCAGGTGGATGCCATGTACTGGGAACTGCTTCTTTCACCCAATTTACTGACAATAGGGTCACATTTAATAATTTTATTGAGAAATCTTTAATCAAGACTTACCTCCAGCAACATGTGCCTAAAGCAAAGCAGGTGTTTTGATTTCTTCACGAGAAGAAAAACCTTACAATAACATTCAAAAGACCTGCAGCTTGCTCACAGGTGCACACGCCCATGAAACCCACAAAACATCTATTTACATGTGTTGTGGAGCGTGCAGGTGTTTTTCAGAAACCAAGTTTAACCTCATTATTTTACTATAGAAGATCAGTGACATCAGTAGTACAGTAGGAGCAGTGAGCTTAACTATCATAACTTTATCAGGATAGCAAGCACCCTGGAACCTAAAATATAGTTAGAGAACTGTTATTTTTATGGGTCATGGTTGTTCTCGTAGTTGATTTCCTATAGAGTATTAACAGAAAAAACTTTGAATAAGGAGCCACACATAATAATATTGTAGCATGACAATTGACATTATCTTTGCAACAAACTTGATATTTGTATCTTAGTATAAAATAGCCAGTTAAATGTATTTATTCCCCTCTAAAAACACATAAAAACAAAATAACAGAAGCTTTTACTTAAGTTATTACCTTTTGATAGGATGCCAAGGAAAGTGTATGGGCCTACAAATGTACCTGTAATCATAAGTACACGTGACAGAAGAGAAAGGTGAATACCTGCATCAAAAGGTTAGTCAAAAACAATACGCTGGAAGACCTGTATAGTCAGAAAATATGAATATATTTTGTACACCAGAAAAGTAGTAGTAATAATTATAATTATATGAAACCTTATGTTCTATAGTGTAGCCTGGTACCAAAAGGATCTTTTTAAATAACTCCTTGTTTTTCCACAGAAAATACTGTATTTTGAAGATGACCGTTATAAACATATCACAGTAACATATTTAGAACTAAACCCTTTGATGATAACCAATGTAAACATTTTATAACAACATATTTAGTAAGGTATATCTTTCCATAGGGCTATGAAAATTACTGGGGCTCCCATTAGTGAACAAAGACCAGAATAGTTTTTTCTGAGCATCTGCTTCTTTATTCACCAACAGGAATCCATCCAAACCTAAGTTTATATTTAATTATCTTGACAATTTTTTATTTAACCTGTAAAAACAGGTTGCAGAAATTATCTCTTTTAATTAAGACTAGTCAAAACTTTTGCACATTAACAGAGATCTCTTGCAATGAGAATCATAAGTAGAAGCACTTTCTAACAGCAGCATAATCTTGTGCTGTAGTTACTGTCAGAAGTCTGTAAGCAAAAAGTAGAGGTCAAGTTAATCCTGTAACTACAATTTAAGAATTTGCAAAAAATGTTTCAAATACATCGATTAAACATTTGGAAACTAAACACCAATCAAACATTATTTTAAGTTGAAGATGAAAGGTTCATTTGTCAAGTAGCCAGAATTTATAAAGGTTTTCCTGCCTGGCAGGACATCGCAGCTGATTTTCCTATGGAGCAAGCAGTCTGTAGATGGCACTGGGCTGTAACTCAGCATTTGGTCTTTAAGCTCCAATCTTAAGCATTACATTTTCTTTGGTTTTAAAAACTTTTATTTTATTTTTCCAATATTTATGTAGAAAACAATAGGGCCCGATGGAATTTCTTGGTAATGCAGCCTGCCAAACAAGTTGTTGATATGTAAACATCAGGATCAGAAGAGGATTTTGCTTTTTTCTTTTTTAGCAGAGTCTTGCTTTCCTCTCTTCTGAGGAAGCTGGGGCAGGAAGAGCAAGCAGAAAAGTGGTTGTTCACTCACTCTCCTGTTTGGGAGGGGCCAGAGGAGCAGGGAGAGCACGGGTGTGGTAGACACAGATGGCAGAGATGAGGGTCCCAAGATGGTGGAGGTGAGGAAGGGTCACAAGATGGCAGAGGTGAGTGCACAAGGAGAAGGAAGAGCTGGCAGGGTTATAGGGTGGGGAGGTGTGAGTGGTGAGTGATCTGCTGGACCAGAGGTGGGAGTCGGGAGGGTTGGGGTTTGGGCTAGAAGTACATGAGAGGGTAAACAGATTTGACAAAGGGAGGGGAGAGAAAGCAGGCTTGTAGGTAATGGATTTCTGACCATTTGCCATTGTGTTGACAAAAATTCTGTAAATCCTTCAGTATGTTAAAATTGAAAGTCCCACTTTTGGGCCATTGAGATTTATTATCTAATTTGTACTAAGATCAAACTTGGCTGCAATAAAAAAATGAGTCATTTTGGCTTAAAGTCATGTCTCAAAAGTCCAAGGGGACAACGTTGTGCCAGGAGGCAGCCAAGAGGAACTGAGGGAGGGGGCTTCGATTGTTGGGCATCCATGTTAGGGCGGGTGAGGAGTTAGCTCCCTAGGACGGCAAAAGAGGGGACCGTCTTCGTCTCTTGTGACACTCCCTGAGCCAGTCCCCAGAAAGGGAGAACAAGAGTAGTCTGGCAATGGGGCATCCCCCAGGGGCACGGTCCTGGGCGCAGTGGCCTGAGATGGTCTCTGTGACCAAGCGCTTGGATTTCCAAGTAGTCCCCAAAGGGAGAGAATGAGAACACGCAGAACCCGAGGGAAACTAACTACCTACTCACCCTGAAATCAGTGACCAGTGTGGATGTGTCATCAGTAATGGCAAAGGTAGAAAGCCCCAGGAGGCCCTGGCTCAGCAGATGTGGTCTGGAGGAGGTGGCCAAAAGGCCAATCAACCCAGCCTTGGGAGACTGTCACTTAATGGACCACCTTCCTCCTGGGTATGAGCACCAGATACGCTAGGTAAAAAGAGCCAAAAACCAAGACCAGACCAGGACCATAAGAAGCCTTTATTATGGGGAGGGTCTGCCAGGCTGTCTCTGAACAAAGGAGAGAGTCAAATTTAGCCTTATTTATTTTCATCTCTGAATTAAATCCATGCCACAAAACCTTGATTATTCTGAAAATTTGTTCTGCTGGGGTTTCTCAGCTAAGATCTTGTGCCCATGTTTGTGTAAAAATTATCAAACTGAAAGTCGTAAGGAAAAATAAAGCACGACCAATAAGATGTTTCCCAACAACATGTGACACAATTACCGGGGAGGCTAAGAGTGAAGAAAAATGAAGAATGCACCAAGAAGAAGCCTCTTTGGTGCCCAGTTCTGACTTTTATTCTATGATTGAATTTATCAGAATTTTGATGCCAACAAGTTTGATAGTTCTAAAGTTCAAGCTTTAAAACAGGGTAAACTGAGGAAATGAATTTTTAAATACAGTGCACAACTAGCATGGAAAAAATGAGGGCTCTTCGCATAAAGACCTTAACGACAGAATGGATTCCCTGGGGCCCATCTGGAATCATCATCGAGGTGGTCACAACCTTCTTTCCCTGCCTATGAAGCTGCTTCTAGACAGTTCACTGCCTACCAGGTTAAAAGAAAAGGTCAGGATTGGGGATTTAGCTCAGTGGCACTGTGCCTGCCTTGCAAGCATAAGGCCCTGAGTTCCAACCCCGATACTGGACGGACGGACGGACGGACGGACGGACACACACACACACACACACACACACACACACACACACACCAGGCTCCCTATTTTACTGCACAGCAGCTTTCACGACAAAAGAAGTTTTAATCAATATAAAACCTGGGAACAATTACTTTGTTCAGCTGTCACCCTCACACTGATGTCAAAACTCTCCCCAAAAAAAGACCCATTCCAGTACCTAGTGTAGGGCACACAGGTTTTTTGACTAAATTCCACCCCTTATCTGATGTAAACTGCATGGGACAGATTCTCATTTAATTCAAATTCTGTAGTAAAGACAGAGTCAAAATGGCACCACAATGTTTTATTTCAACCTTCAAACAACATAAATAGGTAAAAACTTCTGACACTGAAGCATGCAATCCTAAAAGAACAACAACAAAAAACAGACAAAAAGGAGCTCATTTTTTAAAAAGCAAATACTTCACATTTCACAGCAGTGCTCATACAGGCAAGCACTTCTGGCTCATCGCTCCCAATGACAAGGATCAGGACAAACCCCTTCACTGGAACAAAATTACCACATTTCCCCTCTGCTAGTTCACATTCCAAGTCACTACACATCACACTACTCTTCTCTGATTTGTGTAAACTTGATCTTAAATGGAAGTAGGAATTCGGCGTGATCACCAGGAAAGCTACCTAAAAACAAAACAGTGGTAGAAAAGTAAACAAGATTTCCTGTAAGGCATCAGGAGGTCACTGCTGGCTGGGCCCTTCATTTCAGCAACTTAAAGAATAAGTTTTGATTTTTATTTCCCACCAAACTCACTATTCAGAAGTTTAACCAGCAGGCTCAAGTCAAAAGTGTCAAAAGATAGTCCCATCCCATCCCTCCTCTCCATTTTTTTTTTTTGGTAAATATTTTATATAAAACATGAAATCAAGTTCTACTTTATAAAAAAACTGAATGTTTAATAAAAATATATATATATATATATGTTTAAATCTCTCTTTTTAAAAAGACATATAATAACAATACTTGAGAAGACTGGATTTAATCCACTGCCCCTCCTTATTATGGCCAGCTGTCCACACTGGCACGGACACATTAAGGCAAAGGCTCTGGGAGGCACTGTGTCTACCCAGATGCAGCTGAAGACTCAAAGTGAGCATTCTGCTCCTTGCAGGATCAACCGAGGCCTCTCTCTTATGTCCACCGAGCCGTCCTGCATCCCGAAGTAGACTCTCTCAGCCATGTTGATGAACAGGCCTGTGTCCACCACACCTGTGGGGCAGAAGACAGAGAGAGCATGAAGTTTCAACTTTCCAGAGGATGATCAAGGGCCATGGGATCACTGGAAGCAAACAGTGCAAGTAGCACTGGACAAATGACAAATCTAAAATCATGCACTCCCTCAGAGCAACTAACACATTCTGATCATCTTTACTTCTTCCTGCAGCCTTTCTCCCCGCCCACTGTGGCCTTCTTTCTGTCTCCTAACATGCCAAGCTATGTCCCACCTCAGGGCCTTTGCTGTTCCCTTTGCCTGCATGGTCATCTTTAAGCAATTCTAGGGACTGCTCTTCGCTATCTTTTGATGTATCACATGCCAAGTCCTCCTCTAGACAGACACTCCATGACTACTGTAAGCAGGCCCTACTCCCAGTTGTCAATCACGTGACCAGATCTGAAAGACTTCCTCAGAATGGAAAGAGATATTCGCAAAGTATGTACCTGACCAAAAAAAAAAGTCAAAATATATTTAAAAATCCTCAGGTCACTGAGAAAAAGACAATCCAATAGAGAAAAGAACAAAAGGCAAAACAAGTACTTCAAAAAAAAACAGCCATGCAAAAATTCATTAGTTAAAAAGAACACAATGCTATACACTCAACCAAAGTAAGCATAGTAAGGGCCAGGGATTTGTCTCAGTGCAAGGGCCCGAGTTTGATCCCCAGTACCAAAAAGATGAGTAAATAAGCATAGTGACAGCTAGCTAGGCTGTAAAGGCTGTGTCGCAGATTGATGAGGATGGGTAAACTCCAAAACCACTTTCCAAAATGTCTGCTAGTGCAACTTCAAAAGTTTAACATGAGGTATGATCAAAATATACAACTTATTGAAAAATTAATTACAGTAAAAGACACACTGCTATAATCTCCCTCAAAATACTCCCCTCACTTCAAACAGACTTATTCCACTGTCCTTGACACCTTCTGAAGTAAGTCTGGAAGTCCACTTTCATGAGTGTCTTTTACAAGATGTGCCCAAAAGCACATGGACAGTGAATGCTGCTACCATCCAACAGAAAGGCAACTCCTAAACATATAATGGTGAGTCCTCATCCACCTTATTCACCTGATCTGACACCATGCAACTTCTTCCCCAAAGTCAAAATGGCCATGAAAAGCAAATGCTTTGAATTCAATCAGGACATGAAGACAGGCACAACAGTGTAACTACAGACATTTGCAAAAAAGGACTTCAGAACTGCTTCAGAAAGTATCAGGAATGATAGTGTAAGTGTGCTTGAAGCAGGAAGTATTTTGAGGGGAATCGTGTCAATGTCTTTTACTGTAATAAATCTTTTAATGTAAATATTCACTATTTTTCAATCATGTATTATATTCATACTTAACCACATACGTTATAGTCCTAGATATGTAATTGTTGGGCACAAATATGGTCATTAAAAGACAGGCATAAGATATTTATAGCAGTAGTCCCCCCCCTTTATTTTGAGGCAGGGTCTCACTATCTATATATAGTTCAGGGTGTCCTTGAACTCACCACACAGCCCAGGCTGGCCTCAAACTTGGGAGTGATCCTCCTGGTCAGCCTCCCAAGGGCTAGGATTATAGGAGTGCACCACCACACCCAGCAGCAGCACTTTTCCTAATAGCTAAATACTGAAAACACTCAAATGCTCATCAAGAGTAGAATGGATATATAAACTTTTTTTGCAGACACACAATGAAATACCATTCAGCAATGAGAATGAACTACAATTACATTTGGTCTTTATATAGATGCACGCGCGCGCGCGCGCGCGCACACACACACACACACACACTCTACAATGAGACACCACTGATCAGCTACCAATAAAAAGGTTTCATGAACCTTGTGTGTAGAAAAGAAAGGACTAGAATCTAATGTTGGCAGAAGGGTAAACTGGTACAGGGCTTGGGATGTAGCTCAGTGCAAGGGCCCTGGGTTCACTCCTTAGTTCCACAAAAAACAAAAGCAAAAAGAGATGGGAACAGAGCAAAAACACTGTGATAATCATCTGGATGAAAACAAGTCAGCAAGGGAGTTTGAACTTGGGTGTTTACAGAAGATCATCTTGAAAAAGATGATTTGATCACAACAATGCTGCCAGACAACAATGTTTACCAAACAAGGTAACTGACTGCCTAGGAGAGAGGAATAGGAAAGATGGTCTTAAAACTCTGAAATTCAGGCCCCAATAAATACATAAAGAGGGGCAGTGAGTCACTCAAACATGGAGGTCCGGACACCAAACCTGGCCTGGCAACTGGAGCCTCCCACAAATGAGCACCACGGCACTGAGACTGCCGCTGTCTTTGGGAGAGAGTCACACCACTTCTAGAAGACTTCACAGAAAGAGCAGGTGAGTGGGAAGAAATCTAAGGAGTCCTGAAGCAACCTGAGCTGCTGGGAGTGACTGATCCTCCAATCCCAGATAAAGTAAGCAGGGCAGTGGACGGTCGGGGAAAGAACCATCTGAGGATGTTCACTGCGCATCCTCGTGTGTGCAAATACACCCAGGACAGGGACAGCTTGGCTAAAGGGAAACCTGCCCTGCTCCTCTTCTGAGAGTGGTCCCACAGTGCATCTAATGGGAACAACAGGGAAGAGAAAAGGAAAGAGGAGACAACAAACTACTCTGATAGGCCTGTATATAAGGTATTTGATTTAATAGCTAGCCTCCTCTTTTCATTTTCTTTACTCTAAGTGCTAAAAAAAACTCTGAACTTCTCTCAAATGTAGCTTCTACAAACAGGTGGAGAGCAACAGTGGGAAGGTTTTCCCCCAAAGTCTCAACAAGTCAAGAAAGGCCTGAGCGGAGCAAGAGAGCCCCCTAGTGGGCACTGCAAGAAACCCAGCTACAGAGGAAGCCGCAGTGAGCGGTTTCCTGGTGGGTTCCCCGAGTCTCTGTGCCAAGTTCTCTAGTTTTATCGACAGCGATGCCTAGATACCATGCTTCAGCTTGCCTTCCTGACTCTTTAGTTCTTCCCTTAAGAATATAACAATCAAGAAGATAATCGTTCTACTCATCTTTCTGATTTAAAAATTCAGTAACAAAGGGCAACCAACAGAAGACTAAAATAGACCATAAAGTTGAATTGGAAGAAGTTGGAAGCTTCTGGGAAGCTGCAGCAGGAGGATCACAAATTCAATCCCGGCAAGACCCTATCTTTAAAAAAATGGTTGGGGACAAAGCTCAGGACAAAGCCACAAGTTCAATCCGTGTACCCCCTGCACACACAGAAGAGTTACTTTACTACATAGCACACATTCACACTATTTTTGTTTTTAAGTAGCACAGTTAACTTAGAATTTGCTATATTTGATGATGATATTATTAACATATTAT